GTCTTTAAGCTGCTTGAAGGGAATGAGTGAAGAGAAGTTTGGATAGATAGATGGGTGAATGTTCATACATTGGACATAAAGAGGAATGGGTAGGTGGGATGTGCATGTGCATTTGGAGGGTGTGTGTTAGCATCGATGAATCCATGGATGGGTGGTTAAGCATTTGGATGGACATATGAGGGAGTAGATGTGTGGATGCATGGTCTTTTAATTAAAGGGAGGACTGTGTATGGCTGGATATGTTGATGGATGGGTAGATGAAAGGATGAATATTTGAATAGGGGTGAATACTTGCCTGGATAAATGGATAGGTACATAGGTGACTGGTGAATGGAAAGATGATCAACCGAGTTATATATTAAGTATGTTTTAGCATAAATGGGTAAATGGGAGAAGGGCTGGGTGGGAATTTGAGTAGCTATGCCATAGAGTGTATAGACAGATTGATAGCAAGAAGAGGTGGGTCGGGGCTGAATGGATATATGGCTGACTGGCTAGTGGCTGAGCAGATGGAAAGGCATGCACACGTGTGTGGATGCAGGATGGACAGGTGGAAGGGCAGAGGAGTGAACAGCACTTGGGTGGCTAGATAACACTTTCCCAGGACACAGTAGAAATATGCTAAGGATGAAATGCTTGTCTGGACCATTTTCCCCATGGTTGGCCTGTGCTAGACAGCGTGACTTAGGAGAAAGGGTGTGAGCTTCGTAAACTGAGTTCTGACCTTTGTCCTGCCACCTACTGTGTCACTTTGAGCAGCTCTCTAGCCTCTGCACTTCAGCTGGACCAGTCGTAAAAAGCAGCTTTCCAAGCCGGGCGGTGATGGCGCACGCCTTTAATCCCAACACTCGGGAGGCAGAGCCAGGCGGATCTCGGTGGGCTTAAGGCCAGCCTGGTCTACAGAGTGAGATCCAAGACAGGCTCCAAAACAACACAGAGAAACCCTGTCTTGAAAAAACAAAGACAAAAACAAAAAAAAAGCAGGTTTCCAGAGGGCTTGCAATGAGGACCAGAAGGGCATGTGCTTCAAATACAACACAAAAGCCTTTTCCCTGTCTGGTCCACTCCAAGTCTCGTACCCACCGGGGGACCAACAGTAGTTGCAGGCTGCTGGGATCAGGCCAGTCTCCAGCTTGATGGAGGGACACAAAGAGGGAAGGGAGTGCTTGGGGGATGCTGGGTCATTCGGTGAGAGGTGATGCTTATGCCGGCAGGCAGTGGAAGGAAGCCTGTTACCATGGTAAAGATGTAGAAAGAGCACACTTAGGTGTACCAGGCTTTCTTTTCTTTTGGGCCACCAACCAGCTCCCAAATCATGACATGGAGACTTATTAGTTTTAAATGCTCGGCCTAGCTTAGGCTTGTTTCTGGCTAGCTCTTTTAGGTTAAATTAACCTGTTTCTCTTTATCTGCCTTTGGTGTCAGGACTTTTTACCTTCCTTTCTTTCTGTATATCTTATTCTTACTGCTTCTGTGTCTGGCTGGTGGTGGCTGCCTGGCTTCTTACCCCATTCATTCTCTCCTCTCCTCCTCCTTCTCTCATCCTTCCTGAGCCTAGATTTCTCCTCCTACTTATTCTGTGCCTGACAGCCTCACCTATCCTCTCTCTGTCTAGCTATTGGCTGTTCAGCTCTTAATCAGGCCAATCGGGTGTCTTAGGCAGGCAAGGTGAAACAAATGCAACACATCTTTTCATAATTAAACAAATGCAGTATAAACAAATGTAACACATCTTTACATTGTTAACAAAGGCAGCAGAAACAAATGTAACACATTTTTACACAGTTCAAGTAATATTCCACAGCACAAACAAATGTAACACATCTTTACATAGTTAAATATTCTACAACACAGGTTTAAAAAAAAAAAAAAGCCAGGTGGATCTGTGCCTGTGACTCCAGCACTTAAGGGTAATGGTGGGGGAACATGGTGGGGGGCTGGAGATAAGTGGATCCTTGGAGCTGGTTGGGGAGTCAGCCTACCTGCCCAAATCAATGAGCTCTGGGTTCACTAAGAGACCCTATCTCAAAAAATAAGATGAAGAGCAATAGAAGAAGACAGTGGATATTGACCTCTGTTCTCTATGAGCTCACACACACACATGTATAGACACGTTCATCAGAGAGAGAGAGAGAGAGAGAGAGAGAGAGAGAGAGAGAGAGAGAGAGAGAGAGAAGGAAAGGCCATTCTTGGTATCTGAGATATGGAAGGAAAACAATATGGCCTGTGATTGGGGAACTCCAGAACTGTGCAGCTTGGTGAATTAAAGCCGGGTTGCATTGTCTTAGGAGTGTAGGTCCAAGACCTAGGAGGTGTGTTTAGCGTGATGTGTGCAGGGTCAGAGCTTCAAGCAGAATCTGAAAACAATGTCTATCCCTCAGTAGCCATAACACCCGGCTCCCATTCCATAAATCTAAAGTCTGACATCTTCCTTTAATGTTATTTAGACTACTGGGTATATTTAAAGATGATTTAGAGATGTTGCAGACTCATTTCTGCTCCCCAGCTGGCACAGGTGAGGCAGAGCATCATGACTCTGAGACCTTTGGGGACCCCTATCTTGTCCTTCTGGCTGGCTGGCTGGCTGGGTACCAGGATAGGCTTGTGTAATACGCTCTTTTCACGGGTTATTGCCTTTGCTCTCTGGAGTATCTGTGCTATGCTTAATCACTCCCTAGATGAATCGGGAGTGAGGGAGAGAGCTCCTGGATTTCCAGACTAGTATCCCTATACTAAGCATCAAATGGCTATGCCATAGTTCCCCTGTATCCCAGCTGGTGAGAGCATGGGTCTCGGGGTTTCCCTGCCACACTCCAGGCTTGGGGTCAATCTTCCCACCTTCTGCTAGAACTTCACCCCAGACTCCCACTGCTGGCAGACACGGGAGGAAATGCTTCTTCTGTGTCCCGAGGATCACTCTCAGTTCAGCTCTGACATGCTCCCTCTCTATAAAGGTCATCCTAGAGTGTCCATGAAGGCTGGGCTCAGTGTAAGTGGGAGGCATTGAGCCCAGGAAGTATTTGGAAGTGGGGTGGCCACTTCCTAGCAGAAGCATCAGGGCCCCAGACCACAGCTGGTAGGGTCATTCTGTGCCTGGAAGCCATCCCTGAGAGGTCAAGGCTGAGCTTGGGTTCCCTGGGGATCCAGAGTCTGGTTTCACTACTTAGAATCCCACTCGCATCCCTTCCAGGTGTGTGGCCTTTGGCAAAGTTTTAGCCTCCCTCCCTATTCAAGGTTCCTTCAGTGCACGGTGCAAGCAGACTGGGATTGAGTCCCTGTCTTAGTCAGGGTCACTATTGCTATGAAGAAACACCACCACCAAAGCAAGTTGAAGAGGGAACGCTTCCACATTGTAGTCCATCACTGAAGGAAGTCAGGACGGGAATTCAAACAGGCTGGAGACAGGAGCTGATGCAGAGGCCATGGAGGGGAGCTGCTTCATGGCTTGCTCCACAATGGTTAGGAGCAAACTTAATGGGTTGCCCAACCTACTTTTTTACAGAGCCCAGGACCACCAGCCCAGGGATTGCATCACCCACAATGGGTTAATTAGCGATTGGGTCAATCACTAAGTAAGAAAATGCCCTACAGCTAGATATTATGAAGGCATTTTCTTGATTGAGGTTCCTTCCTCTCAGATGATTTCAGCTTGTGTCCAGTTGACCTAAAACTATCTGCCAGAGTCCCTGTGAGGACTTTAGAGGTAATGGCATACAGTCTGGCCAACTCCTTGGGCGTAGAAGCAGGTCATTGAATGTTAACTAGACATGTTCTTCTTCTTTCTGGAACCCCAGAGCTGATAGCCCTTTGACCCCTGCTGGGAAATGTTGAGAAAAGACTTAAAACAGCAGAAAGAGTGACCTTTGCTAGAGCTATTGACCATTGTTTATGAGACAGAAGTCTTTGTTATAACAAGGAAGCCCGAGCAGCTGAAGGCCAGGCCTCGGGCCATAGGGAAGGCAGCTACTAGGGAGGGGGCCGGGGGGTGTCAGTGGACATTCTTTCATTCCAGAGATGACACTTTTTGGTGATGGGCAGAGTTTATTTACTTGGTCTCCTTGCTTCAAAGGAGTCAGTTTTCATGGATGCAGAAGCATCCCATATGTTGGCAGGCTTTAGAAGGAGCCAGAGCCAGGCTTGATGCTTACCTGCTTCACGGTGGCAACAACTGGAAGCCCCCACCTCTCCCGCCCCACCCCCCACATCACAATATGACTCTTTTCTAAAAACTGATGGTCAGCCTTGCTGCTGAGCCAAGATCTTTTCAAATAACTCTTCCATCCCTCCCAATAAACTTTAATGAGAATCTGCTGAGTTATCCCCTGTTCCAATTTCATTTCTGGTGTTGTGAATTTAAAAAATAAAATAAAATTAGCCGGGCGGTGGTGGTGCATGCCTGTAATCCCAGCACTCAGGAGGCAGAGGCAGGTGGAGCTCTGTGAGTTCGAGACCAGCCTGGTCTACAGAGCTAGTCCAGGACAAGCCCAAAACCAAAAAAAAATTAATTAATTAATTTAAAAAAATTATCCTGACAGAAAGCAGCTTGAGGGGAAAGTGGTGTTATTCCTGCTTACAACTCCAGGATGTGGTCCATCATCATGGGGAAGTCAAGGCAGGAACGTCAAGCATCTAGTCACATGACACCCACAAACAAGAGCAGAGAGAAATGAGTGCACAATGCTCGCTCGCTTGCTTGTGCTTTGCTTGATTTCTCTGGCTCTTGTTCAGCTCGACCTCCTGCCCAGGGAATGATGCCACCCACAGTGGGCTGGGTCTTCCCATATCAAACTTCCTTAAGACAACGCCCCACAGATGTGCCCACAAGTGAACCCAGTGCAGACGATCCCTCATTGAGACTCTCTTCCCAGGTCATCCCAGGTTGTCTCAAAAGTTGAAAAAGCTGTCACATCCCCTAATAAGTCGTATTGTAGCACCTTGCAATGGCGGGAGAGGGAACCCAGGCTCTTGTTCTGATGCTTCCCATGTCTCTGCCTCTGCAGACATCGACGAGTGTGAGAATGACCACTACAATGGCGGCTGCGTCCATGACTGCATCAACATCCCCGGGAACTACAGGTGCACCTGCTTTGATGGGTTCATGCTGGCTCATGATGGACACAACTGCCTGGGTGAGTGGGCCTTACCTCTGATCGCAGACTCCCTGTTTCTCCGTGCTAGCACGTGGAGTTGGGGGGCTGTGCAAAGATGCACCTTCCTCTAGCTCCTTGAAGTAGTTTGCCAAGTTGCCATAACAAAAATACCGCAAACCATGTGGTTCGATGTTGGAAATTTTCTTCCTCGATGTTCTGGAGGCTGGGGGACCAAGATGAGGCACAAACGGCTGCCTTCTTGTATATGCTGTGAGTGAGGTGACTCAGTGGGTGTATTAGGTACTTTTGTGTTGCTGTGGTAAGACACCATGACCAAGGCAGCTTATGGAAAAGTTTGTTTGGCTTATGGTTCCAGATGAATAGAAGTGCATCATAAAGGGGAGGTATGGCAGCTGGTGGCAGGTGTGGAGGCATGGCAGCAGGCATTGGAGCATGGAGGCAGGAGCAGGCAGCTGAGAGATCACATCTTCAACTGCAAACATCAAGCAAACAAAACACACTGGGAGTGGGATGCGGCTGTAAACTCTCCAAGTCCACCCCCAGGGACATACTTCCTGCAGCAAGGCTGCATCACCCATAACCCTCCCCAAACAGCGCCACCTACTGGGGAGCCAAGTGTTCAAAAACATAAGCCTGTAGGGGGTTTTTTTTTTTTTTTTTTTTTTTTTTTTTTTTTTTTTTTTTTTTGGTTTTTCGAGACAGGGTTTCTCTGTGTAGCTTTGCGCCTTTCCTGGAACTCACTTGGTAGCCCAGGCTGGCCTCGAACTCACAGAGATCCGCCTGGCTCTGCCTCCCGAGTGCTGGGATTAAAGGCGTGCGCCACCACCGCCCGGCTGACATTTCTTATTCAAACCACGATGGTGCATAAAGGGACACGCCACCAAGCCTAACAACTGGAGGTCAGTCCTCAGGATTCATGTGGTGGAAGGAGAGAACTGACTCCTGCAAGCTGTTCTCTGACCTCCACATGTGTGCTGTGGCACTCCTGCCCCCCCCACAAATTAATTAATTAATTAATTAATTAATTGATGACATCTGTCATATTGGAGTAAGTCCATCCCCAACAGCTCCAGTCTGAAATGTAACTGCCTCTTTAAATCCCTGTCTCCAGATACAATCGCATTTAGAGGTAACAGCAGTTCAAGTCCTTCAACATGAGACTTACAGTTCAGCCCATCGTCTTGTATACCTCCAACTCACCACAGTTCAAATCTATCTTAAACCGATTAGATAAGACTTATACGCTGATTATTTTTGGTGAGTAAAGTTGAGAGCGTGTAGAAGACTAGGGAGGGAAAATGTCAGTCTCTGCTGGCGAGTCTCCGCTGGTCCTCTGTCCACCTCTGCAGCCTTTACCGTCAGGCACACATCAGGCATCTTCACAAGGCTTCTTGGGGTTCCTATGACACAGAGATGAACTGGGTGGTGTATGTGATAGACATTGATTCTCTCATACCTCTAAATGTTAGAAATCCAAAATTGAGGCAGGGCTGTTTCTATCTGAGGGCTGGGGGTAAACTTATTTCCAAGGCCTTTCTCCTGGCCCATGGTCACTCAAGAATTCTTAAGCTCATAAACAGTGTTTCCCCATGTCTTCACATCGTCTTAGCTCCGTAGACATTCTCAGGGTCCGGATTCCCTTCCTCATTAGGACATCAGTCATATTGGATGAGGGCCCACCATGGCTACCTCATCTCATCCTGATCATATGCTGTGATGGTTATAATCGTCATCTTGGCTGGATTCAGATTCACCATGGAAACACCTCTGAGTATGTCTGCAAGGGATATTCTAGATTAGGTTCACTCAGGTGAGACAACCCACACTAAATGTAGGGGCCACCATTCCATGGGCTGGGGTCCCAGACTTCATAAAAAGGAGAAAGCGAGCTTCCCGGGGGCTTTTGTCTCTGCCTCCTGGCCATGGATGCGATGTGTCCAGCTGTTTCCTCAATCCCCTGCCGTCACAACCTCCCACCGTGACGGACTGGGTCCCTTTCAGCTCCTTCCCTTAAGTTGCTGGAGATCTCAGACACCAGAAAAGTGACTGATATAACTACAAAGACCATTATTACCCCAGAGGCCACATTCACAGCTCTGGAACTAAGGCTTCAGAAGCTTTTGAGGGGACGACATGGAGGTGGTTCCCAGCCTATAACCCAAGGGACAGTCACTCGTGGACCACACAGTGCTCTCAGAACAGACTTACCTGTTCTCAGCCCTCCTCTACCATCAGCTGCAGAAGCAGAGCCGCTGGATCCAGGAGGGCGTGTGTGTGATTGACAGGAGCATGGTTGTGAGCAGGTCATAGGCCTGTCGGGGTCTCTGTCCCTGGTCAATGAAAGAAGGCTGTCAGAGCTCTTAGTATGGTCATGGTCTCTGAGATACCACTATGTCACCAGTGTAAGGATGAAGTGATAGTATAAAACCGAGGGGCCTGCACGGAGTACAGACTAAATGGTCAACTAGCCAGCGTCCGCCATCTTTCTGCCTTTGCCGTGAGAATCCAGAGTGAGTCTGGGCAGAGAACATTTTCTTCCCCGTTTCCCTAAGCGATCCTTCAGAATCATCGCCACAGATGGCTCTGAAGGGTTAAAAGATCACCGGGATTTTCTAGCCTTGCATACAGGAATTTCTGCCAGGGCCAAGCAGACCCTCGGGGTGCCAGCTGGCTTGTCAGCACTGGGTAGAGGGGTTCCATACCCCAAGCGCTTGGGCCTCCCCTTCCGAGCGGCACGTCGGTCTGAGAGCCACTGCTGTCTGGTTTTGTTTAATGCGTGTTGGGGCTCAGATGAGCTCATTATGGGAAACAGATCTGTGAACATGTAATTACACCCCAAATAAGTGCCAAAACAGAGGTCTGGACAAGGGTTAGTAAAGACCAGAAGGGCCTGTGAAAAGCTACCCCTGGCTGGGTGAGCATGGGGGTGAAAGCAGGATTGCCAGAGCTTCAAAGAGGGCTCTCGGAGGGGGAAGACGTGTGGAGGTCTGGGCACCGTGTGTGGAGGGCTGCAGGCAGCGCCTCAGGCTGGGCTCAGGGACTGCAGAGCCCGGCAGGGGCTTTGACTGGGGACCACACAGCTTTTACAGTGCCAGCACCCAGGTGGGGCGTGGTCGCTGACCCCCTCACCTGGTGCCTGTGCCGCTTCCTCGGCCGCAAATACGTCTCAGTAATTGAGTTGTCAGTGAAGGCTCCGCTCACCACTGTCCCTGGGGATAGCCCGTTAGGAGCAAGGAGTGTCACTCTGGCCAAGGGGACAGACCTGGACGCTGCTGGTTTGCCGCGTAAGTCTTGGCTCTCCGGTTCCGAGCTGTTTAGTCTTTGGTCAGTGTCTTGGATTCTCTGTGTCTCTGTTTCCTACCTACAACATGGAACGTGTCTTACAGGGTTCGGGTGCGGGTTCGGTGAAATCACAGATGTAGTTAGCAGAGTGTCTGACACCAGAAATGTCATAGCATGGGTCAGATGCTCAGCTGCCAGTGGAGATGTATCATTTGAGCCGCTTTGATGCCCCCCAACACCTCACGGGACCATGGTCTGTGCTCCCTGGCTTGTGTATGGCACCCTGGACTCCCTGGCTGGGCTCTGTGTCCTTCTCTGTGAAGGACCACCCTTAACCCCTGCTAGGGTCGGCGCCCCCAACCCCCACCCCCACCCCTCCAGCCTCCAAGCCTGATGGTGAAGTCTATACGGGTCTTTGTTTCAACAACATTGTCTTCACTATGGATTCTTTTTACACTGATAGATATGAAAGACCTAGGCAAGACCCCTCTCTGCGGGCCCAACCCCCCCCCACCACCACCACCCTGAGCACAGATCCTGGGGCAGCTGAGGGCAGACCTTTTCCTACAGGCTTCTTTTGTTTGGTCTTTTTTTTCCTTTTGGTCTTTTTCCTTCTCAAGAGAAAACTCCAGCTCAGAGAAGTCAGGCCTCGGTTACAGCCGGCTCCAGCCCAGACCGACCGTGTGACCTCGGGCTTGTTGGTCAAACTTTTAGAGCCTCGGTCTTACATCCATGGAACCCATTAAGAACAGATGCCTGGGAGTTGGGGAGATGGCTCAGTTGGTAAAGTGCACAGGGACCTTAGTTTGATCCCCAGAACCTACACTTAAAATCTAGGCAGAGGAGTGCACACTTATCCTAGCACTGGGCGGCAGAGGTGGGAAGACTCCCTGGGCTTACTGGCCACCCAGCCTAGCTTACTTGGTGAGTTCCAGGCCAGTGCCTGAGAAATCACACCAGAGGTTGGCTTTTGGCCTTCTCTGGCACACATACCATATACATGTATGCATACATATGCCCACAGGCACACATGTACACACACACACACACACACACACACACACACACACACACACGGAGCATGGGGGAGGGGACATTGATACTTGGGTTGCAGTGGGGACTGAGGCAAATTATAATTGAGAAATGAGCGGGGCTGGGACACGGGCGAGTCCAGCGAAGACTCTGGTGCCCCCACTCTTCCTGAGTCTTAGAGCCTGGGGTCAGCTCCTTGGGTCCTCCCTGCCTTGGTTGCCACAGCTAGGCCATGGTCTAGGAGACCAGCCTCCCAGGGGAGACGTGGGGCTGGCTGTCACCATCGTGTCCTGGCAGAGATTTCAAGTCGGTTGCCTAGCGCCCACCCTTGACCCCAGGGCGCGTTTGATTTCTTCCCACTGCCGTGTTGGGTCGCCATCACAGAAGGAATTGTCTGCACTTCCCAGGTGCACGCCTGTGATCCTAGGACTTGGGAGAGGGTTGGGTGTTCACAAGGCCAGCCTGTGCTACATGAGACCCCATTTCAAAAAGGGGGGGGGTAAGACATTTTCCTCTCACTCTTGCTTGGTGACTGTTGTCCTGCCCCCCCCCCCCTGATAGTTACGAGACTCAAGGCAGGATCACAAGGAAAGCCTTGTGATGTAACGGTCCAGTATAACGATACTCCCACAGTAATGGCGAGGCTCTCCCTCCCTTAACACAAGCGCCCTCCTGGTGACCTGTAGGCTCGATATGACTCCTGA